TTGTCAGTTTTTGGTGATTGATGGCATCTGTAGGCTGAGCGACAAGCGACGACTGGATGGATAAAGCTTAGGGCACAGTTTCTGCGGGACAGGGCGCCGCAAGAATTCCGCCCGCGCGATTCTGCGCCATGGGGTTTGGGGTATCCTGCCATATCTAAGTTTGATGGTGGCTCCGATCTTTCGGACAGCTTTTGGCGCCAGCTCTGCAGGGGTCAAGGGAGATTCCCTTGGTAAATTCGTGGGTCCCATGTTACTTTGGTGCATTTTGCCAAGGGATGTTAGGACTGAACAACTTGTTGCCAACGAATGGGTCTTCCGAATTAAACCACTAAAAGTTACTCACTTTTAGCAGAGCAGATTTCGCAACCAGGTTAGCTTGCAGGACAGGGAACCAGAAAGAGTGAATGAGTCGTGAAGGTGTTCAGTGCATTTGTGCCCAGAGAGAGCATTCCGTGTTTTTTGTGTCTTGAGTTCTGGGTTGACGCTGAGGTCTGGCACTTCTCGTTCATCCACGGCTCATTTGTTTGGACGGTCCTAACAGGGATCAACTCCTCAAATTGACATGGGCGCTGGTATGCCCCTTTTGCTGAGTCGCTGGCCCTCCGAAACCGGCGGTTTCCTTTTGGCTAAGCAAAGGACGAAGTTGGGAGTTCTCGCAAGGTGAGTCCATGTGAACAGTCCACTCCAATTGGCCATGTGAGTGGGTCTAAGGTCTACTAAGTTAATTGCTACCTGGCTGCCAAAAAGCCTTATCTAAACCTGAAGCGTGGGTGTACTAAGTTAAATACTACCCGGCTGCATCTAAACCTGAAGCGTGGTAGAACCAGCATTTCAGCGAGACAGCCTCTTTTGCGAGGTGGCGACGTTTCATATTCTTCCACCGGCGGCGCTGCAGCAGGCGTTAGGGAGTGGGTTACATGGATCGCCCTGAAAATTGATCTCCAGGAGTCTAATTAGAACGGCTCAGCCGCTCAGCCTGTATAAAATTCCACTTGCTTGAGACTTTTGTTTTGTCTTCCTTGGTTTTTGAAATGAATCGATTCACTAATGAAAATATGTTTCTTGTTTTTTTTTTTCAGTGGACGAAGAAGCAAAAGGAAGGAATCCGGGGACTCGGGATTTCAGCCATTTATTTGCCGGGACAGAAGGTCCGTTTCGTGTGACACAGCCGAGTTGCAGCAGCAACTTTTTTGCAGGGAACAGGCCAGGGGTGGCATTCATGCTTGATATCCCCAAAAGGAAGCCCCCTTTGAACACGGACACCTTTTCTACTGTTTTTTTAGACCCTTCACACCCAGGTTGCTCGCTTGTCAGGTGGCTTTGGTCTATCTTGGCAACAAGCTCACAAGCAAGATCGACTTGAGCTGCTCGCCTGAGCCGAAAAATGTCGCAGGCCTTTTGTTTGGCCCTTTGTCGCTTGGCCCTTCTCTTTGGGAACGTGCGAAAAGTTGGGCGGCGCATTTCTCACATTTGAACTTTGGGTCATTCCAACCTCCAGTTGCATTAGCGAATGATGCCTGTCGACCCTTCCGAAGTGCTCAGAGGCAACAACAACCCTCCAGATTAGTCCGGCCACACTCTCGGACCCAAGCATGTCCAAAGTTGAAAAAGACATGCACACATTGCAAACTGTCTTCCTGCCCATGGATGCTGCCGCTGGTTTCCACTTATAGCCAAGGTTGGCTGAAACTTCCAAGACACTTGCCTTCTGAAAATTTCAAATTGGTTACCAGCACCCCCCAAAAAAACGGCTTCTTCCCACGTCCAAAAAAGACCCAAGTACTGTCGAAGAACTGGTGGTGGGAGCAGATGCGATTAGGGAAGCTCGCTAAAGGTATTTGTTAACATGAGTTCCGAGCCACCGATGTCTTACTCTTTACAACGTTGAGTTGTTGTGTTTTTATTTTGCTTGATGGTTTTCCGCGGAACCATTTGAAGTTTGATTCAAAGGGTGCGATTTGTTGTGAGCTGATCCCGAACAAACTGAGCTGAGAAAGGAAAGCCTGGCAAGGACTGAACGATGAGACGAAGGGGATTTCGGATAGCCTCCTGAACCCCTTCTTTATCTTCAGAGGCGCTTGCACACCCCTAGTCATACCAGGCACTCTGAGCTTTTCTCAAGTTGATTTTTTGCCTTACCCATTCTGGTAGATGGACCCACTGGGTTGAGGTGGTATTACAGTCCACTGCAAGTCTTTGCCCCGCCTTCTCGCGCAGCCGAAAGACAACTTCAGGTGCGCTGCCGAAGCTGCACAAGAAGCTGCTCAACAAGAGCCGCTTGACGTGGTGACCATAGGCGTCCTTTTGAGGTGATTTTGGCTAGAAATAGATGGCGCTGGTTTAGGTTGGCTTGATTCCATTGACCAGGGCCACCTATTTTCCCAAAAAGGACACCTATGATGGTGAGTGTGTCTTTGTCCCCTTTTTTGGGGTCCATTCTGAGAGCGGATCGCATGACTACATTTCCAAAGTCAAGGCAGATGCATAAGATGCATACAGACTCGAGGACTGCCTGACTACCCGACTGACCGGCCTACCAACTGGCTGACTAAGGGTAACCCGCAAGTGGCTGAACAATGGGTGGAATTTCCTCCTCAAGTGTCGCAGTTGTGCTTTGTGATCTCGTGTTTGGGCCAGGGGGTGGGGGGAGTCTTTGCCGGACATGATGGCGGGGCGTGACTGCAATCATGGCAGTCCCTCAAAAGAACATGTTCCTGAACGCCCCTCTTCCAATGCTCAAACATGAATGTCCCTCAAGATGCAAGCAACTTCACTCATTCCGGCTGAAGCAAAATGTAACCTGCCGATGAATGAATCGGTTTTCGCAGCCACTGGTAAAGTCAAGAGGATTGTTCTTTTAGGGCTTGCGGTTTGCGCTTTTTTGACCCCCTCAACTACTGAGGTCCTTCCAGAGCGAACAAGGTTTGCTCCTGAAAGGACACAGAAGCAATATTATTGCATCAACTGGGCAAGGCCGTTGGCCGAGCTGCCAACAAACCAACTGGTGAAATAAATGTGTGTGTGTGTGTGTGCTCGTGTGTATTCGTTTTTTGGAGTTGGCGTCTTTTCATGTTCAAGAGGAAAATAGAGACAACCCCCATATAGAGGACACCTGTTTGGACCTCATATGTGTCAACAACTTTCTAGTGCCGTGGCTTCTCTTTGCAAGAAGGCCCTGGGATATTCGAGCCAAATGCTCGTCGAAGGGAGGAGGTTGGATTTTCCCTAGGTTTGTCCGCTGCCTTTCGCTGACCGCGATGCATATATCCAAAGACCCAGAGAAAGATCGTCTCAGTTGTTCAGCGGCCCCACTACAAAGTAGTCTTCCCCAAAAAGGGTTCCAACTTTTTTTTTCCAGGGACACTGAGCTGAGTGCCCAAAGACCTGCGACGGTCAGTCTCCGGGATCGCCTGAGTGTTGACTAAGATCCCCCGTTTTCTCAAAGTGGCCTTTGGTACCCCTGGGAATAAACCGAGACCCCCTGACTGTGCTGAGGCATGGCCCGCGCAGGCCGGGCTCCGCATGAGAAGGACGCCTTCAGTTCACGTCTCTCAAGCGTAGATCACAAGTTGGACAGGTACAGCGGTACGGGATAGGCATCAAAAAAAATATATATTCGGGATCAAACAAAAACTTATTAGGGATAAAAGAAAAGGCTTCTTCTCATTCCTATCCCTCACCCCACTGGTACACCCCTTCGTTCCATAAAAAAAAATCCCCGTTTTTTGAGGCCCCGAGCCGAGAGAATTTGTTAGTTGGCGAAAACCTGTCAGGCTAAGGCCGACATGCACCGTTTTGGGATCCCAGTTTGGGATTGGTGAATTCACCACCCCATTCTAGAACCTAATTTACTGGTTGGATTGGTTGATGTTCACTGGGGGTACGATTTGGATTTTGACCCATGGCCATGTACTGTATAGATGTTTCCGTGCATGAACCTGTTTGAACCTGACGGAACCACAAAAAGGTTGAGGGCTTCTGAGTCGTTGATGGCTTAGGCGTTGGGAAATCAGCGCACAAGAGGGTCCAAAAAGGGTCCAAGAGATCAGGCCGCAGCAGCGTGAAGAAAGGCAGGGGAACTACCACAGGCGGGCGGGGTCGAATGGTGGTTCCTCCGTGTTTGTTATCCGAAACCGAACGGTTTCAAGCCAATCTGGAGAGTAATCCACCAACTGATATGCGCTCCCCCTTTTCTTGATTGCTATTGGGTTGGATCTTTAGACTGTCACTTTTGGGGAAATCAAGCGGTTCTCCATTGAACCCACAAACAGTTAAACTTTTTGCAGAGAGGTCAACAGCAACCCATTTTTTGTTGGTTGGTGTTAAAGGGCACCAACATGGAGCCCACCTCTTTGGGGTCCCCTCATTTTGAGACAAAGCCAGAGGAGAAGCCCCAAAAGGATGGGGTCCTTTTACGGATCTCGCGGAAGGATTCTCCTTGGCCAAAGAATGTGTTTGTTTCACAGATTCTCCTGTCATCGAACCCAAGTGAACCTGAGGTTCATATTCCAAGGGTTTATTGTACATGCAACCCCAGCCAAGCCTTATGTGTGTTCTGGCCGCGTGCATTGCTGGGTCTCGTGGGGCTGTTTGCTTTTTTAGGTAGCGAATGGCCCCGGCTTGCTTCTGGGTCGACCGACTGGTTGAGCCCCCCCTCGGAAGGGCTCAGACAAAGCTCCGAGCTCTCCAACTTTGAGCAAGAACAAAGTGGGTACCAACTTATTCTAACCTCTCAAATCTGGAGGACCTAGCCTGTGAATGTAGCGAAAACCGTTGGAACCTCATGTCTTTTCGAGGTTACCTTTGAGCCATTCCATGCCGATCCATGGCTCGTTCAGTTGGAGGTCCCGTACTGCACACATCTCTGGTGCCTAAAATCGGTGGCTTCGAGCAGCACCTGCTGTCCATCGAAAGCCCGAGGTTCCGTTGTTGTTCTTTCTGTTTTTGTTGGTGTGTGCGTGTGTTTTTTCTTGTTTTTCTCGGATGCGTGACTCCAGTGGATGCATGTTCGCCATTTCGGCTCAAGTGTCCAGCGCCCAGCCCCCCGCTTTTTCTTGCTTGCGAACTACGACAATTTGTGCGTTATCATGCGCAGCTTTCCATTCGCTTTGGTGCTGGTCTGTGGAGCGACCCGCCTGGAGGAGATAGAGAATGACACGAGCGGGGAAGCAGGGCCCATGACTTGTTGCCTCATGGATCCGGTGCTGGACGCCCAGAGGCAATCAGCACAAGGTTGCTGTGTTTGTAGTTCTTCATTGGTGCAAGAGAAAAAAGGACAAGAAGGTGGAAAAGGAGGAAAGCTGGCAGCAAAATGCAATTTGAAAGGGTTGGTTTGTCAAGCCGAACAAACTGCCAAAGAAATGCCGCTTTTCAGAGGCAATTTGCCAGAACTACGTGCCCGAAAAGCTGCTGGTTTGGTGGCAGTTTCCTTTGGAGAACCCCTAGAATGGGGAAGGTTTTCCCTAGCCCTGCGTTTGGCTAGGAACTGGAGAGCCTGTCAGTGTCTGCCATAGATCCGCAGCATGGGGATGTGACTCAGTGCCGCGTCACCACCGCCTTGGTCTGCGGCAGCCACGAGGAAAGCGGGTTGGGTCTGGCAAGCTCCAGGTGTCTGAAACCTCGGGCGTTGGGGTTCTCCATAGGGTGCTGGAATCCGTCGGTGGAGCCATGACCCCTAGGGCACATCACCTGATTCAGGAAAGAGTCCGAATCCTACAGGGTTTCGGATCCGACCCGTGAGACCTTTGACAGGGGGCACCCAAATGCAAAAACAAAAACAAATGAGTAGCCAGCACCCGGGGCCCAACAGCTGATTGTTTTCCCATGCAAAATCCCAAGTACGGTAACCAAAAAGAAGTTGTCGAGGAGTTCTGTTTTCTTTTTTTTTGTTGGAGGGTGTTGGGAATTAGGGTTCTGTGAATTTCTGCTTTACGCATGACCCCAACCCACAACAAGGCCAAGAACAATATTCACCTCAGTCTGCCCATTTACAGTGCCAACTGGGTGAATGACAAAAAAATGGGGTCCCCTCTGGTTGGTTTGTTTTTCTTCAAACACTCACCAAAAGGGGGGCCGAAATCCATGTTGAAAAACTCACATGATTAACCCGTTGTGTTTGGCTGCCAGATGGGTTGACCGGTCAACCCCTCACTTCCAGAACGATCTGGGTGGTTGCCAGGATGCGGAGCCCTGAACCTTGGTTTGCTTTGCTTTTCCGCAAGCCCACCCCTCGCGCTTTCCGCGTATTTTGACTTAGTTGTTCGGTGGCACCAATGATTCTTCCTTTTTTTTGGTAGCTGCCCCACTAAAAATGGCCTTCCCCAAAAAGGGTTCTCTTTTTTTCCAGGGTCACTGAACTGAATCTTTCGAGGAGTGCGAAGAGAAATGCAAGAACGACATCAAGGCCAACCTGCTGACCCTGAAGCTCCTCACGCCCTTGCGGCGGGAAGAGCAGCTCGCTGCTACCCTCCCTGGCGAATTTGACTTGGTCTAGGTCCCCCAGGATCATGCCCTTTTTACCCTTTCTTTTTTGGGGGAGGGTTCCCCTACTAAAATAGACTACAGAAAAAAGTTGGTGCCCTTATTCTAACCCCTCAACTGGAGGAGCTAGCCCGAATGAAGGAAGCCACCAGGGATTGTTTATATGGATCATTCCCTCATTCCCTGTTGAGAACCAGCAAGTCGAGGGATGTCAAATTGATGTGAGCACCAGGCGAAGGATAAACCTGTTTTCTTTCAATCCTTCCCTCACAAAAAGGCCAGGTACTTCGAGGGGGGCGCACGACCCTCCCATCTAAAAGGTGGAGAAGTTGCATTTTCTTGATTGGCGGGAGGGTAAGATGTTGTTTCAAGTGATGGGTTCCCCACCAAATGACAATTCCCGGATGAATCAACCCCAGTTCATAAATCGAGGGGTGTCCCTGGGTTTCGGAAGACACTTTTGGAGGGGCCACCCTACGGGTTCTACTTCGATCCGGGGTCATTAGGACATGTCCCCCAGTCCTTTGAGTCCGTCCATTTGGGGGAGTTCGTGGGTTTTACTGCGCTTTCGTGGGAGACCAAAAGGAAAACCGTTCCGATGTTCTTTTCTTTCTTTCTTTTTTTTTTGGGGGGGGTCCAAGCTTAAAAAGACACCCCCACTGGTTTGTTTTGTCCAAGAGGGTTCAAAGCCCTATACCATCGCCTAATTATTCCATTTATCTCGTAGCTAAGCCTATGGTTGTTTGCCAGATGTTGCTTCATGAATAGTACCTACAATGTTGTGCCATGTAGACGTCGCTCTTCCTGTGCGGCATGAGCCGGCGGTTTGACCAAGGGAACTTCTTGAGAGTCCAACCAGTTCAGTCTGGTTTTCCGCAATCACTCCAGTTTCTGGACTGTAAACGTTTTGGGCAGACCAGTTCGAACTTGTATGGGACAACTCAGGAAGTGAGTTTAAGAGGACCCGACTTGACTCCGTGTGCTTCTACGTCCCCCAGTAGTGCCCTTTTATCCTTTTCCAGGAGTGCCCTTTTACCCTTTTTTGGGGGAGGGTTCTCCTACTAAAATGGACTACAGAAAAAAAGGTACCCTTGTTCTAACCTCTTTGCTGGAGGACCTAGGCTTCTTTGCTTGTGCCACACAGAGTTGGAACCACCTCAAAGGTGCTTGGACATAAATCACCTAAATTATGTTTGCCAAAGGCTCCCACGAAAACATCGAACCCACGTTCTTACGCCCGCCCAAGGGAAACAGCCAGGGAAGTGTCTGGCAAGCTATGGTATCACGGGTTTGTGTAGGTATCCACATAGGGGGGGAGTGACCTTGATCATGTCCTTTGCATCTTCGGCTCCCCAGGTTTTCAGGTTCGAGGGGTGGATTCCTCGTCCATTCGTTTAAGAACCATCCTGCTTTTCAAAAAGCCGGAGCCGTTTCCCCGGGGTTTTTGTTGATGGTTTCCTGAAAAGATTCGGATCCCCGGCAAGAATGGAAATGGAAGGTACTAGTACCCCCAGAGTCATCAAAAGCTTGGCTCCCCCAGATTTCTCCTTTTGGTTTCCCTGGAAGTCCCCAGATTTTCAGGTCATCCAAAGCTTCGCGGGACCCAACCCGCAGGTCAACCAGCCTCGGTGTCCCTCAGTTGTTCAGTGGCACCAAGTCTTGTCCCTTCTTTTTTCGGTGGCTAAAACCACGAAGAATCCGGTCTTCCCCAAACAGAGTTCCAACTTGTTTTGTCCCACGGTCACTGAACCACTGAGAATCAGATGGAAGCTGATCTGATTGAGCTCCCAGCCTGAGGTTGAGACGTCTCTCTTTTTTCCAGGGTCACTGAACAACTGAGTTCCACGTGGGTGTGGGTCAAAATTAAGCCACCAGACAACCACAGCTTTTGGTTCCATGCTAAAAAAGACGATCCGCCTAAATCAACTTGCTTGGTTTGGAATTATTATGGGGATGTGCGGTGCTCGGTGCTGCGCAAAATGTTGTCATGGATGGACGAAATCCATTTCCAACCACCTAAGAAGCCATGGTTGAAACCATGGTTGCCACCTAGGGCAAGCCATTTTGGGGTTACCCGATTTCTCCCCCACGTCGCCACGTCTCGCGTCCAACGAGGCAGGGGGAGGCCGGGCAGGCGCTCACCGCGGCGAAAGCTGCGCTGCGCCAGGCCCAACAGGCGCTAGACCTCGCCCAGGCGAGAAGATTCGGTCGCCCAACTTTTTGGCCCGCGCCGGAGCTCTGCTTCGTTTTTTTGTTGTTCCTTTTCTTGTTTTTTTTTTATTATTTTTGCGGAGATCTGTGAATGGAGTTGAAGGGAAGAGGCAACCTCAGTGTCTTTGCATTTTGCCAAGGGATGTTACTTTAACTTTTGGCCAAATGGATTTGGTCGCTGCAAATAGCAACGACCGGTATGGGTTCAAACACGGTTTCATTTCGGGGTGCGGTTTTATGAATCTCGCAGCATCCACAGTATGCTCAACCTATGGGGAAAAACTGTAAAAATGCAGACACCATTGGGAGAAGCTGGGAAAATCCATTGAATCCCCGAACCCAAGAAGGGTTTCTATCGGCGACCAAGAAAAGACATAGCGGCTTGTGCGTTCTGAGGCTATCCTTAGTTGCACTTGATCTAACAAAGAGGAATCATCTTGAGAAAACCAAAAGCAACAAAATTCATGATTCAGAAGCTGTTTGGTGCACAACCCATGTTGAAAGAGTTCTGGAAACATGTCTGTTTTTGGGATGAGTGGGTGTTTGTTGGTTTTGTTGGTTTTGTTTGTGTTGTTGTTGTTTTTCTCGAGGTTTGTGTGTGTGTGTGTGTGTGGTTGTTCATGTTTGTTGTTTGTTTTTCCTCGTTTGTAGGTGTTATGTGTCTATGATGGGTCTACGTTGTTCTTGAGTCTGTTTTTTGGTGGAAGACATGTCCAGCTTGCCTGTCCCTATTAGACTCTATTCGATGTCGAATCGATAAAGCCCCAGTCAAGTTCACAATAAGAGCTCTAATTAATTGCTTCTAAACATCCAAGTAAGTGTAAGAGGTCTATTGTAAACCAACTGGAAGAAAACCAGCTTGTCTATGCTTGCCAGATTCTATTTAAATTAGAATTAATATCTAATCAACATCCTAGATGCGTGGACATGAACTCCCATTTTGATATATTATTCATGCAATTGAATTACTCAGCAGAAACAACCAGCTTGTCTTACTAGATTCCAGTTAGATTATGGTTTAATTCCAATTAAGTGTTGGAGTGCAAAGCTTGCACATTTCATGCAACCCCGCAAGGGTGAGAATCCGGCGGCCATAGGGCCCTTGAGGACAAGGCACTAGCCTTCGAGGAAAACCGCGTGGCTGCGCATCGCCTGCTTTGAGCTTCATCCCTTTGGGGCGGGTTGTGAATCACCTACTTTGCATTGGTAGCGTGGCCATCCGGTCCCCCGTGATCGCGCCATAGCCCTGGAGATGGACGAAGATCCTGATCTAGAAGATCATCATGGCGAAGCTGATGATTATCTCGAAGACCAGCTCAAGCCCTTTTCGCAGTTGCACCGAACCCTGTGGGGCTTTTTGGGACGGAATGGCTCACAAGGTCACCATGAGTGCGCTGACGCCAACGCCACTGTTGGCATTGGGCATGATGAGCGCCAGAATTGCACGTTGAATTGCCGAAGGAAGTTGATGCTGAAGATCAGCCGCTGCGACAACCTTGCTCGCGAGGTGTCAATCTGAGAAAAAGGAAAGGCCCGAGAGCAGCTGTGAACACGACGCCGCCTTCTGAAGGCCATTCGGCCGAGGGCCATAGGCTTAGACGTCGCGGCAACTTGCCCCAGGATCCGATTCGAGGGAGACAAGCGCAAGGAGCCCAAGTGCTCACACGAAGTTCGCTAAGAACATCATCGACGATGAGGAGATTCGCCTTCACGCCGGCTTTGGCAGGAGATGCGCCGGACTACTTGGAGGACATCCCGGCTCGCACCTTGCATTCACCAATGGTTGGAAGATGCTCATGAAGGTCTTGCAGGACAAGTTCGGCGAGAAGCCCATGCACAAAGTATGCAGCACCATGAAATGAAGGGCTCCTTTAAGCTGAACATGCCCAACTGCAAGGTCATGAAGGTTGCCGACCAGATGAAGGTGCTCGGAAGCAGGTCTCACGCGGTCATGATCTACTTTTACTTCGAGCACGCCTCGTGCAAGAAGATGAAGCAAGCCATCGAGCTGCTCTACCGTCAGAGGCAACACGACTCAAGGACGAGAACGGGATCCTCTAAGAGGGCGCCAACAACGTGGCGCGCACGAGGTTCAGATGGGAAATCCTTGCAGAGCCACGGATGCACAAATGGAGAATCGGTTACAACCCGGTCGAGTTGCTGGCCGACATGGAGCCACGCCACCGCTCGAGAACCGGCAGAAGCTCGCGAAGGCCATCTAGCCCGTGGTTTCCACGGGCGGCAAGGGCAAACGCAAGTCCGAGAAGGGCAAGGGCAACTCTTCTTTGTGAAGTCTTCAGGTTCATGGACAGAGCGAGCCAGCCCACGGACGACGGACCTCTTCTGAAGGGCCCGATCCAGAGCCTTTTGGGGAACGCAAAGCTTGCACGTATCATGCGTCCTCGCAAGTGTCAAAAATCCCGCGGCCATAGGGCCTTTGAGCCACATCCAGGCTCCACATTCCTTTGGGGCGGGATGTGGGTCACCCACTTTGCAGAGGAGTTCTCAATTGGACTTGGAAGGGGGGTCCGGTTAAATTCCAGTTCAAAATGTGATGTCCAATTAAACTGTAATTGAACTCGTATTAACATGTGTGCAACATAAGTTCCGAGTTATCAACAGCGTTAAAGTAAGAGTTCTTTTTAAACTCTGATTGCAAACCTTAAATCTACATCAAAATAAAAATGTGAAGTGAGTTCTAATCGAAATCAGATTTAAAACTTGCAGGCCGGAATAGAGCTTGCATGTTTCCATGAGTTCTTGCTGGTTGCTCACTCCTTTTGAATGGCGTGAAAACCAGAAGAACCAACAGGCTTGTTTTTTCTTCATCAGGTTATATTTTGATACCAGCTAAAACCCTAATTGGAAAGGATGCCACATGTTCATTCCAATTTGAAATACGATGCTACACTGAATTCCACTTCAAATATGATTTGAATAACTGAAACTGCATGTTCCTTGCGCTTCAATTGGTTTGCACTCATTTGAACGGGGGCAGGCAAAGTAGCAGAAACAACAAGCTTGTCTTTCCAAACTGCAGCTTAATTGCATTGCGTTTCAACTCCAATTCCTACCAGGAATGAAAAAAGGATGCTAAGGTAACTGCAGCTACTCTGGCTTGAGTGAGAAGCAGAAACTAGCAGCGTGTTACAAAAACTGCAAGTAGAGGACCCCGAAATCGCAGGTACCAACATTCTTCAGCAAAGCAATCGTACAACTTGCTCAAGATACCAAACCTCAAATCACAACCAAGTGCCTCAACTCAAAGGATTGTCGGACTGCTTTTGGTTTCTTTTCGGAAAAAGGCAAAAGGAAACTAAACATTTCAGGGGACCACTCCCAACAGCTGGCAGAAGGTCCCCCGAAAAATGTTGGTTCCCCCTTGATTCCCAGTGCACAGCTGCACAGTTAAAGGAAAACGAGCATGGCTTAGTTTCGGAGCAACAGCATATTCTGGGAAAAGGATTCCATTGCCATTGTGAACAGAATTGCGAACACAACTGGGCGACTGATTTTGTTTTTCCTGGAGCCTTCTCCTGTCAGAGTTGGAATCGGTCAGTTCCCCATGGCTCATGACAAGCAGAATGCCAGCGCCCTCCAACTTTCCCTTTCCTTCTTCCCCACGGCCAACCAAAACAGCAGTTGTTGAGCGCTGGTAGATGCCCGAAGAACACGCAGTGGCAATTTCACACAATTACCCAAAAGGCGAGGGGATCCAAAATTCTCATAAAGCAGGTGGGATTGACCTTTGACACCACCCAGGTACACGCTGGGTTTCCCTTTTTGTTCGGACATTCGCCAGAGTTGGACACCAATGTTTCTCATCCATATCATTCAACACATTTCTGGGAAACCAAAAAAACAAGGGAAGCCTTTTGAGGGAAGCCAGGTATTTATTCTGGGCACCCGGCTCAGCTCCAGGCCAACTTCAACGAAGGCCAAGAAGGACGAGGCGGACGCCAAGTACTCAAATTGCGCCCAAGCAGCACACGTCGCTTGTAAGGTTGGAGCCCCGAACATGCTGATTGTTGTTTTGGACTTCCCTTCAAAGCCACAACAAAACGGGCACCCCGAAAAGCAGGCAGGCCATGAGTGTTTGTGTTTGTGCCTATGCGTGCGTACGGGCGGGTGGGTGCAGGTGTGTGTGTGTGTGCATTTTTAGTGTTTGGGTGTGCTTGTGTTTGTGCTTTTTTTGTTTCTTTGTAGAGGGAGAAAGAAAGAGAGATGTCAAACTACATGCTTCACTTCTTGCACTGGTGTTACATGCATGTGCACTACTGCAGGCCTTGAGCTCACTACAACTGCATGAGTCAAAAGGTTGGCAGCTGCAGCAGACTACATTGGTTTATGTTTGTGAGAACACTACAGCACTTGCACTTGTAGTATTTGTAACTTCGATTTTAACGTGGTAGCGGAGCTGAGATCCTAAACATAGGGGAGCTCCAGTATTCAGCAGTAAGTACTACAACCACTGCAACAGCAGTCACATGCCAAACTACTACGACATGTCAGGAGAAGCAGCATCAGCCTCAGCACAACAAACTACAGGAGCAGAGAACGGGCCAACAGCAGAAACAGTAGGAGCCACGACTACGGGAGCCGGAACAGAGCAAGACAACTACGTGCAGAGACTACTTCGATACAAACTGTCACCACCCTTCTTCACCGGTGACTACTTCCAGTCTGAAGAATGGCTGTTCAAACTACAAGCATACCTCGGCCTCATAGACCGAGACTTCGACCTGGTGCTACAACTAGCACAAGTAGCTACACGACAGATTGAGGACACAGACATCAGAACACACATACTCGACCCTACACAAGCAAGCAAAGCAGTAGACCTGTCCTGAGATCTACACTATATCCTCATCAACATCTGTCAGGGGGCAGGCAAAACCACCACAACGCAAATGGATGTGAAACACTGCGACTCCTACACTACAGGTTCAGCCTACCACAGTAGGAACAAGAAGCGTTGGCTACCTTACCAAACTACTGGAACCTACATTCAATGAAGCGCAGTTTGAAGAGCAATTCCTACAATGGGAATACGACATCAACCGCTACGAGAAAGACAACGGCACAGCACTACCAGATGGAATAAGAATAGCAATGCTACTCAACAAGGAGCACTGCAGCAACATCTCCAACTGCGAGCTGGACAGATCACGAACTACATCGAGATCAGAGCAGTCATCCTGGACTACTACAAGACGATTTCAGCCTTCTCAAGATCGACTTCAGCAGTAGGCACAAACTACAATGGAGGAGCTGCACCAATGGATGTTGACAACATATGGAGGAAAGGCAGAAACTACAAAGGCAAAGGAAAAGGCAAAGGCCACTACAAAGGAAGCAGAATCAAAGGCAAGTACAGGAGCAAAGGACACTACAAGGGATTCGACAATGGCAACAAAGGAAGCTACAACAAAGAAGGATACAACAAAGAGCAAAGGAAAAGGCTACTCAGGATCCAAAGGATATGGATCAAGCAAGGGCTACAAAGACCAAGGAAACTACAGCAAAGCAAAAGGAAAAGGAAGCAACAACTACATGACATGCCACCGATGTGGCAAGCCTGGCCATTGGGCACAGGACTGCAGAGCGCCGGTATGGCACATAGGAGAAGGAGAAGAACTACATCCACTAGAACAAGAACAACCAGATCATGACAACAATGAAGAACTACCTCAGGATGTGAACGACACCTGGGACTGGTACTACGAAGGAGAAGAAGGACAACACGAGGTAAACTACATGGAGGAGAACTGGAACGACTACGACTATGACAACAGCTGGGATTGGAATGACAACAGCTACGAAGACACAGCAAACTACATTGGAGGCATCAACGAATCACACCTCACCATTGGACACATCAGACAAGCAAAGCCACTACTACCCAAGCACAAACCCAAATCACCACTTGGCAAGAAAACAACACACACAACATCATGGAACGACCACAGCAAGAGCTTTCAACAATTCCTCCAAGAAGACACCACACAACGACATAGCAGCAGCAACACAACAGCAAAGGAACAAGAAGATTGAGGACACCATCACACACTACATCATGCACTCCAACTTCAAGTCACACCATCACCTGCTGATCGACTCAGGAGCATCTACACATGTTTGCCCGAAGGACGAGATTTACCGCTACGACCTTGTGGAGAATCAGTTCCACAACTCTACACGGTTACCAACAAGAAGATTCCTGTCTACGGCATCAAGTATGTTCCCTACAAGCAGAACAACTTCAGGATCATGATACCCCACTACGTTTGTGATGTGAAGTATCCAATCCTCAGTGCATCAAGACTACTTGATAGAGGATATGGACTCGACTTCAATCCACGACACTGCACCGTCACACATGGACAACAACAAGCGCACCTCATAAGACACTCAGGACTCTTGTACCTACAAGCAGAGAAGATCGACATCCCTACAGGGTTCGACATCTACCCAATGACTACAGAAAATGGAAAATCCATTGCTGTGATTCAACCTACAGAGAAAGCAAAACAACAACAATAACAAATTGCACCACTCACACACACACAGACCAAGGACTGCGACAGGTCCTTGGTGGAAACACTGACTACTCGAAACTTGATGGCGGCTACGCCATCAGAGTCCACAAACGACCACGCAAAGCACTGTTCACAACACACAACAGTGGTTGCCCAATACCACAAGAAGAACTAGATGATTGGCGACTAACCATCATCAACAGACAAGGGCAAGAGCAAGAACAACTACAAGAGAACCCAACACAACTTTCCAAACAAGAACTACAACGAAGACTAGCAGGCGACAACTGGACTGGACAAACCAGGTTCAGAAGAAAGTTAACACCTACACGCAGAGCAACATCAAAGACCACACCAACAAGGCAGAGCTCACAACCACAACGGCTAATGGACGCACCACCAACCAGATCAAAGATTCAACTACGAGCGCCACAAAAGATATGGAGACGTAAAGCAGCACCTCCTACAGATCTCGACACCACACAACCAAAGCAGACAATACACAGACCACTCACAGCACAGGAGGACAACCAAGACTACTGGGAAAGACAAGGTGAACACTGGATAAAACACCATACAACACTTAGAACTATACACTCCTGATGATGATGATGATGATGATGAACATGATGAACATGATGAACATGATGATGATGATGAAGAACACCACCATCATCACTTTCATCATCATGTCCATCATGATCATTTTCATCATCATGTTCATCATCATCATCATCATCTTCATCAGCATGTTCATCATCACCATCATCATTTTCATCATCATTTCATCATCATCATTTTCATCGTCATGTTCCTCATCATGTTCATCATCATCATCATCCTGATGATCATCATCACTACGCATCCTCAGCATCACCAGCAGTTAACGTCATCACTATGCATCCCCAGCATCAGCAGCAGTCGTCATGACACTCATGACAACGCATCTTCTGCATTTCCAGCCGGGTCTAACGGGACACATGAAAAAGAAGAGCGCCACGGCTTTGAACATGATGAGGAACAAGATCATGCTTACTCATCATGTTCATCATGAGGATGCGTAGTGATGATTATCATCAGGATGATGATGATGATAAACATGATGAGGAACGTGATGATGAAAATGGAGATGAAATTGAATCACAATGATTCTGATGATGAAAGTGATGATGGTGTTTATCATCCTCATCCTCATTATCATCATCATCGTTTTCATCTTCATCATTATCATCATGTTCATTATCATCATCATCATCATCATCATCATGTTCATCATCATTATTTTCATCATCATCATCATCATTTGCATCATCATGTTTCTCACCATGTTCGTGGCGCTCTTCTTTTTCATATAAGTGTGCCGTTAGACCCGACTGGAAATGCAGAGGATGCGTTGTCATGATTGTCATGATAGCATCAGCAGCAGTTATCATGACAATCATGACAACACATCCTCTGCATTTCCAGTAGGGTTTAACGGCACACTTGAAACGTATATGAAAAAGAAGAGCGCCACGGTAATGATGACGATCCGGATGATGTGAACCATCACCTAACATCAACAATGATAGTAATCATCACTTAGACAAGGACAAAGACAAAACCTTCCCATGCGCCTTGCCTTTGGAGACAGGGGTCGGCGGATGATGATGCTGACAGCATAACGATGACAGCAACCATCACGTACTAAATGGACGCGCAAACGACGTCCTAGTGAGTTCACCAGCATCGTGATGACAGAATCAAGCTGACACACAAGCCACGAACCGACGACGTTTTGATGAATTCAACAGCCTCAGGATGACGCCGACAGCATCTTGATGATGTGGAAAGATGACACGGGCAGCATCATTGCGCTCCGCATCATCATGATGCAGGCATTATCATGATGATACCGCAAACATGAAACATCTTGTGCACCGGCAACCCCCAAAATAGCACCCTGCCATCATTGACAAGATGCGCTCGTGCGATCACCAGCGCCATCCCCCAAAACAGCACCCGCGCCAAGACCCCCTGCACTGCATGCACCCTAGCCCCCTGCGGCCAACTCGCAAAATGCGCCCGCACCGTCACCAGCACCTCAAACAGCGCCTGCACCCTAAACAGCCTGCCCCCTAGCACCCGGCTGTCTCGCAAACCACTTTCCCCTCAAAAGTTCGAACCCCTACAGCTTTCAGCTGTGTGGACTCCGGCCCAGGCACCAGTCGGGTCAAGGAGGCTGCGCGCAGGGAGTCCAAGGCCGAGAAGCGCTCCGTTTCGCCTGTGGGTATTTGCGGAGGTGGCGATTGCTGCTGCAGCTCGGCGGCTGTCTCTGGTCAAAGTCAGCTGGCCATGGTTCAAAACCAATTGGGATCCCATTTTGGATAGGTGCACCACCCATGTGAGTCTATTTTAGTTGGGATTCAATTGTTCACTGGGTACGGGGTTTCGATCCATCAGCTGCCTTCCTGAGTTTGGACTTGACACTTTGGGCTTGGACCGTTTTGGCCAACAGTTTTCACTTTCGTTCGGCCCATCAACTCGAGAAGTGAGGGTGCGGAAGTGGGCTCGTTTATCCTGCCAGGTGCCTTTGAGAATGGTAAAAGAATGGGCGTGTCTTGGCCTTGTCTTTCAGTGGTTTTAACGGAAACCACCATTTTACATTCCCGCATGGCTGTTTATTCCTTGAGTGATATGGGTGGTCTTAGAATAGATGGGTGTCTTAGAATAGTGCCAAAGTTTTTTGGGGATTCCCTTTCGGGATTTTAAAGGAACTGACAGCTTCTGCACTACCAACACCCCCCAAACAAGTGCTTGTTGGAGAACTAGGTTTTTGAGTGGTGCCTTTTTACATTTTTTTGGGGAGAGTTTGCCTACTAAAATAGACTACAGAAAAAACGGGTACCCTGATTCTAACCTCTCTACTGAAGGAACTAGACAATACTTGGGATTTTGGACATGGGAAAAAGCAGTTGTTCGTGGGTGCTGATATTGAGGTTCTTGATTTACCCCAGGCCAAAATGCACCTCCAAACTGATTGGTAGACGATTCGAATCGTCGGCCAAATTCACACACACACACATGTGTGTCTTAGACTAGAACCCAGGACGCTTGGGTTTTGTTTGGCTTCCCTTTGGATGGACAAAATCCATTTGCACCAGTTGGATTTCGGTTATTTATAAACTCATTGTTGTAGGGTGTCATGCCTCCTGGTGCAGGTTCTGCCCATCCATTATATGTGATGTGGGTGTGACTGTGTTAAACTAAAAACCATTGGGTGGTCTTCCTTTTGGCTTCCCTTCAAGTACCAACCAAAAAGGTATCTACTATTTCAAAAGCTCCCATGTGTGTGTTTTGTGTATTTGTCTTTGTTTTGAGGGACGCTACAAAGGACACCAGCCATTTTGAGGTCCCCGAATTTGAGTGCATCCCGATTTCTAGACCACCTCTCTCAACTGAACCTGGCGCAGGATTTGTCCAAGCCTTGGCGTGCCAGTCCATGAAAAAGGCAATTGACCACCGAGTAGTTTGACAAGCAAAGGTTATTTTTTGGGGGGCAAGTGACAACAGCAACCCAGCAATATGGAACTCCAAAAGGGCTCCAATCTCCAGAGGAGACTCCTGTGAACATGGTGGCGGTTTAGCTTCGCTGCCCATTGCCTTGGCGCATGTTGGAAGATTGCTGTTTCCACACGCAACAAGCCGCAGAACTTGCTGAAAGATGTCAATGGTGAAACATCCACGGGCTTTAGTTTCGACGATAGAATTGGATCCCTTATGGACGCCTTTTTATGTTGGTCGTCTTCTATCCCCCTTGCATTCTTGTTGGGAAAACAGGAAATGGTTGACTCGTCGTCAAATGATGGACCCGTTCGCGTGTTTGAAAGCGGGGCTGACATGAAATTTGGATTTTTACCTTCCTGAGCCCTTTTCGCCCCCCGTTTGGAGCTCGGCTTGTTCGCCCGGTTTGACCGGTTCACCGCTTTGCCTAGGTCCCCAGGATCGTGCCCTTTTACCCTTTTTGAGGGGATGGTTTTGCTGCTAGAATAGATTACAGGAAAAAAAGGGTACCCTTAGTCTAACCTCTCTGCTGGAGGACCTAGCCTTTGTCCCTCCTTCGTCGCTTGTTTATCCCTCTTCATCGGCCTTGACATGCTCGGCACCACTGCATCATGCAACATGGTTGGTTGCTGCTTGGCTCTGAGTCAGGACGAGCTGGGGCTTGATCAAAGGGAAGCCAACGCAAGTCACTAGTCACTCGACACTTCGCGGTACAACAAGCAAACACCGCCTTTGACACATACAGGTTCATGCACACCATGTCACTGTTTCATGCCGCTGCCTTACCGCCCATGTTTTCGTGGTGCCCGGTGATCCCCTTTTTCGTGGTGCCCGGTGCCCGGTGTTTTCGTGGTGCCCGGTCAAGCGCACGGGTTTTTTTCCACCCCCAGCGAGGGCGTCGCTTTTTTCGCGCCGTTCGAGGCAGCTTCGTGGAGGGCAGCGTGGCGACTCCGCTGCTGGTGAGTGCCAGCACCTTTGGCAGCTGGGGTCACCTGGCGGCTCATTTCCGGGCTAGGTCCCCCAGGATCGTGCCTTTTTTTTTCCGTTTCTGTTTTGGGGGGAGGGTTTTGCTGCTAGAATGGACTACAGAAAAAAGGATGCCCTTATTCTAACCTCTCTACTGGAGGACCTAGAACAAATCACTGTTTTGGCTCCTGGGTGAAATCAATTGTGGTGAGCTCCTTTTTTTTGCCGAACAGTGGGACCGAGGCAAGTGCAAGCTGATCAGGCCCTATGCCAGGAGTGGGTTTTCGTTTTGCCGCACCTACAATACCGAGTGCCCCAATTGCCGGAAGCTGGTTTGTGCCAACAACGGCGCTGGCAGCTGCAACTGGGACGGAAGGTGAGATGCGGACGAAGAGATCTCGACCTCTTCAGTGCGCGGCAGAGCGAGAAAACGGGTGTGACACGGCGGCCAAGAAACATAGGGGACCTAGAGAATTACGAATAGTTCACAACTCACAATGCATCATGCACATATATATATATATATGTATGCTACCCCCCCTAAATGTCGATATTTTTGTTGGTTTCAATGGTATTTGCGGTGTGTGATGCTGTTTTCGGTGCTTTGGGGAAAGCGGCAAAAATAGCTGCCTCACTGAAGTCTGTTTAGATTCTACCTGGGTAATGTCTATCTAGATTCATTGGAGATCTTAATCCTAGAAAAAGAGACCCGCTTCAAAGCCGAACTTGAAATACTCATTCCAATTAAGAATATTGTTTGAACAAAGGCCTACTTAAATTCTGGTTAAAACTAGACATTCTACTAGACATGTGTCCTTATTAAATTGTATTTCATGTCTGATCAAAAGTACAGCTAGAACACGGTATAAATTCCAGTTTCAAATTCGACTTTGAATCGAGCACCTATTTAGATTATCTTTATACTAGAAATCGTACCAGGAATATTTTCTCACTAAACTCCACTTAAATGTTATAGAGAATTGAAAGCACAATCCTGGAAAAAGACCCCCTTTAGAATCTAGTTTGACAAAATTCGAAATTATATGTTGAAACGTGTTCAATTCTACTGTTTGATCATAATGTAAACATCATATTACAATGACATGATTCTAGTAGAGTTTCTGGTTTTAACGATCATTTAGATGGGGTTGGTTGAAATACGGGCTTTAATTGGGTTTATTACAAGTCTTCTTTGAACAGGAAAACCTCCTACTAAAATTATTTCCTTATTAAGGAAGAAGACAAGGAGACCGCCGTTACAGTCTAATGTGACATCAACATGCTAATTAAGAATATCCTATTTAAAGTACTTGTTCAGAGTTGATAGGTAGTTGCAGTGTTTTCTGCCTTTTTGGGGGCTTTGGGGAAAGCTGCAAAAAGCAGAGCACATGTCCAAAGACAATCTGCAAGCTTCAGGTTAAACACATTTCTAAGCCGAGGTTTGGTCAGAAGATGCCTAAAACAGCAGCAAAGAAGAGAGTCAGGGCCCCAAACCGTTTGAACCATTGAAACCCTTTCTGAGAGGAAAGGTCCCTCCCCCAACAAGGCCCCAAACCGTTTAAAGCCTTTTTCAGAGGAAAGACCAGCCCCCCCAAAAGCCTAAAACTGTTTAAACCGTTTTAACCGTTTCAGCCCTTTCTTTCTCAGAGGAAAGGTCCCCCCCAGCCCTTTACCCCCCAAGGCCATGGGGCCCCAAAACCGTTTGAACTGTTTAAACCAACCCTTCCTCAAAGGAAAAAGCTCCCTCTCCAGGGTTCTGACCAAAACCGTTTACACCGTTGAAACCCGCTCTCAAATGAAAGCCCGCCTTGCAGGGTTGAACCTGGGAGAGGGTTCAAACGGTTTGAACTTTTTTGGGCCCGGACCTTTCCTGTCAGAGAGGGTTTAAACTTAAACGTTTCAAAGGGTTTTGGGCCCAGACCTTTTCTCTGAGAAAGGGTTTAAACGCTTTAAACGGTTCAAACGGTTTTGGGCCCGGACCTTTCCTCTGAGAAAGGGTGCAAATGGGTTAAACGGTTCGAACGGTTGAGCTGGAGAGTCTTTTTCCTTTTGCAGAGTCAGATGTAGTTGGGCATCACAGATGAAGACAGACGAAAAAGGTCGACATTTGGAGGGGGGCACCATGAATATATATATATATATATGTGTGTATATATATACACATATATATATATATATGTGTATATACATATGCAATGTTTGACTTAAGTACCCCACAACCCCACTCTAATGATTTTGGCTTATAGCTTTGTTCAGTTTGAATCACCATGGAAACCTTCATGTTGGGCTCCAGAGGTCCGTTTGGCTCATTTTGCCACGGGTTCAGTTCTGCGGGTTGGTTGCAGGCGTGAAGGGCTTTGGTTGTTGCTTAGCTACGCGACCCTGTGCTTTCGAAGGCCGGGAGCTAGGGCCCACCCGTAGCCCTGGTTGGGACATATGCCGTCGACTTGGCGGAAGCTGGGGCGATTTTTTTCGGTGGGCGGCTTTCGGTCGCAAGTGCGCTTTCATGCAGGTCCGAGCATGGATTTTCAGTGCGAACGGATGTCCACAGTAGCCCAAGAAAACGGATTCTCCAACTTTTTGGAAGGAATGGGTCCATAGATGGCAATTCCACTGCGCAGCACTCCTTCCTGAGCTTGTGGCTCCCCCAAAAAAACTCATGTGCGATTGTCTAAATTGTCATAAGGCGAGGTATCTGAGCAACCAACACGTGAGCCCGTCCTTTCGTGGCATGTGCTGGGTATGGCTCGGCAGAACAGGTTGGGTTTTCTTTTGGACGGCCCAAAAGCACGCGTGTTTGTTGACCTTAAATGATCTTCACAAAGAGTCGATTCTCCAACGAGACGCTTCCCAGGGCGAGTCCAGCTCGACATGAAAATCGGACAAACGAGAACGTGCCAAGGTTCAAGGGATTTTCATTTCACAGGAGTGATAGGCTTTCTTAGGTGCCGTGTGAGGTGGGGTATCGAGAGTGCCCACGAGAAACCACAGGGATCCCTGTCCATTTGGGCCCTATTTTGACTCACACCCTGTGCTGACGGGAATCCCCGGCAGAATTCAAAAGAGGTGTTTTGCGTGTGGTGTCCATTCAATCCAATTCAAGAAAACGGGTAGTTACATTTTACCAGGTGCACCCAGAAAAGCGTCCTACTTGGATCGCCAGATGACGGGAAGATCTGGCAGCAGGCGATGTTTATCCCGCTCGCCAGGACCCATTTTGGGGGCGTCGCGGAACCGGTGCGCTAAACCTCCCACCAGCCAACATGGAAGTGCACAAACCCCTGTAGAAAGACTACTCTCCTCTTGGAAAGGGCCTTTTTGCATGTTCGTTGGTGGGAGGGTAACCAAAGGGGGATGGTGGAATTTTGGGCGCAAGTGCCTGAAAAACCCAATGGGATGGGCAATGTGTCAAAGATGTTGCTCCCTGCTCAAACGCAGAAGGGGACTTCTGAGCGGTCTGCTGGTTGCCGGCGAAGCAAAAGGAACATCTCCAAGTAATGCAAGCCCGGCCAAGACATGCCAAACCAACCTCCAGCCGCTATTCCACTATTCCGAAAGGGACCCTTCCTGCCACTAGACTCTGCTCTCCTGGCTTCATGAATCAAGGTTGCCCAGGAAGCGATTTCGATTCGATCTTGAATTTGCATCCCGAGATTTCGTATGTCACTGACTTTCTCTGTGGTTCAACATTAATAAGACTCCCGCTGAAAATGCCCAGCTTCCCCAGCTGGGAGAAGGGCCAATATCCCTTCGGGGCCCAGAAGCATCGGCAAAAAACACTCCAGAAGACAAGAAAGAATGATCCAGAAGCAGCGTTTGTTTGTTTTTTTCCGATGGGCTCAGCGTGCTCTCTCTCAATTGCCACTTGTCGTTTGCCACTTCCTTTCCTGCCAGTGCCTACTTCTTTAAGCCGTGCCCGGCAGCCCCAAAATCCTTTCTTTACCAGACCGTGTCAACCTTAGGGAAAACTATTGGTCAAGCTCGTACATGAAGTAAGCTGATTGTCTAGAAATCTACGTGTGTTCTTCGAACACACTGGAAGTTTGTCCAGTGTGTTTTGAATACTAACCTGCATGTTGCCTTGTTCTGAGTTGCTTACCATTCCGAGCCTGGGCAACAGAGTGCCCTGTTTTCAGATTGTTAAACGTTGTCGATTTCCACACATCGGCGTCGGCTCTGTTCTGTTTGTTCCCTTTGCAGGCGAATAATGACAAACTGATAAGAATGTGTGTGTGTGTGTGCGCGTGTGTGTCCAGCATACGTGTTGCTTTTTGGACGGCCCAAGCGTTATTGCACTGCCGTCCACGTGTCTTTCCTCTTGAAATATGGAAGGTAGCCCCTCAGCTCCAAGCCACCAACTCAAACTACCTCTGTTTTTTTGTTTTGAAATATATTTGTTGGCCACCCCCTCAACCAGTGCCTCCCCCGGTCCAGAATCCACTATCAAACCGGGACTCGAGGATCGTGGAGATGGTACACCTGCGGATCCGCGACGTGGTGAGTGCCGAGGTGGGTCAGGACAGGGAATGTCGACCGGGCCCCGTTTTGTTTGTTGTTGCAGTCACGATAGGTAAATCTGCGGGGTGTCTCAAAGCACTATGGGGTGGTTTTCAAAATAGGTCAGATAATTTGGACCGTCTCATCCAAGCTTGAATAAATATGTAATATGTGTTCCACATTGCTTGAGAAACCTCACTTGCGCCTTTGAAAAGGTGCCCAAAGCAAACCATGCTTTTGTCCAGAACCTTAATGTCAACTTCGGATTAATTTGGAGTATTGGAACCGGTTCCGGCGGGGAATCCTCTGATGTGCAGAAGGGTTCGCATGAATCAAAAATTGGAGATTGGTGCGTCTTTGAAAAGGGTACCCCTTGTTTGGTTGTCTTAGCGGGAAACCGAAACCACCATTTTGGCGGTTCCCTTGACCAATAAAACACTCATATATAATTGTCCGTGCCTTCTGTCCAAGAATCATGGAGGACAGCTTCGGTCCCCAGGCAGCAAGCTTTCGTCCGACACCTTCGGATCAGCTTCTCTGGTTCGATGATTTGGAGTCGGACTTGGGCGGGCCGTGAAAGGAAAACCAACTGGCCAATCCAACTGTTTGTGGGAGCCCCTGGCTCTACGCAGATTGTCCAAAAGCCTGACAAACACCTAAAAGCAAGACACAAGCCTAAGCAAGCTTAAAGCGCCCAACACAAACTCAAAAGGCCCTACAAAAGATCAAGCCCAAAGAGGCTCTTGTTTTATACACGCATGTTT